ACGCTCTGTTACCGTTCGAACAGCAGCCTCGCGGCTCGTTATCGCGAAGCCGTGTAAACGGGCGAATTTCTACGAAGCGGATATTCCGCTCGGCCGCCAAGCTTTCGTGGAATTCGTAAAAGCGTAGAAAGTCGAGTTAGAATGTTTAATCGGGGAAAAATGGCGCGACGCGCTGAATCCCCGACACGTTGGTTTCTTCCGAGCCTCCCGCCTACAGCCGAGGAATATCTTTGCCCGATGAAAGTTTTACTTTTACCCGCTTTTATCGCGCCAAACCGTTCTTGGTCGACCGTGTTCGCGCCGTTCTAACACCGCGGAGTTTCGAAAAGTTATTTTCGAAAATAGAATTTAGCGCCGATACGGAAGTTTCTCCGCTCGCGTTACGGCCGTAAGCTCTTCGCGTTTACGCCGTGCCCCGACACCCTGCGAGTAACCCTAATTGTTTCGAATAACGCATCCCCGCGTACGAATATCGTACTTTGCACTTTGCCGATCTTTCTCGATAAATTACGGGATAAAAGTTTCGCGACGCTATAAATAAATCAAACGATAGCCCGGGAGAGGGAGAGAAGGTCGGCGGGAACGAGGGGCCCAGCTTTCATTGAGTAGGCGAATGTAGGCGACGTACGCCTATCCTATCTTATCAGACGCAACGACCGAAACGGATGTTACGATAATGGTGTACCTACTCTTGGAATATGCTGGTCGTTGCAGCATGGCGACGATCGCGCGTCTGCGCTATCTGTCTGTGCCGTATTAAAAAGGAAACGCGCGATAAACGAAAGGGAAACTTCGGAATCGTATTATCCGTCGAATTTCGCGCTGATAATCGCGATTATGCCTCGGGTTCGCGCATGTGCCCCTTCGTTATTCGCACTCGTGCGGATAAATAGGCGTATAAATACGTATAAATCGGCATCTCCGTAGCACGTAGCGGAAGATAAACAAAATTGCTAGCTCGGCCCGTACATTTCGTAACGTCCAGCCGAACGAGGTCCGTTCTCGCGTGGTCAATGAACGCAATTAATTTTACTCGCTCAATTACCGAGATAATTCAACGGTATTCGTTTCCAGGGTATAATTAATGGTTGCGATATGTAAAATAGGCAGTTTCTCGGCGAGGTGTTACGTATCGAAGGGGATCTTTCGTGTCGCAGAGCGAATCGAGCGTGGCTGGTTAGCGCAAGCTCTCGGTCGCATCGGTGGAAAGATGGACGCGAGAGCGAGATAACCGGAGGAAGGAAAGCTCAACGAAAAGCGATATTCCTTGGCTTCACGCGCGAGCGACCCGACAGAGTTCCTCGATGTCCAGGCAGCGCTCCGCCGCGCTCCGGTATACGCTTCTTCGTGTCGAAGGATGTATCGCGTTACACCTTCGTATCGCGTAACACCTCGATCTACAAAGGAGAGCAGCTTTTGCGGCCTGGCACGACGACGACGACGACGACGACGACGACGACGACAACGAAAACGAAGGCGAGAACAACGACTACTGCGTCGACAACGACGGCATAGACCGGTGCATATACGTACATACGTATTCCGTATGCAGGTTATGGTCGATCGCGTTCGTTAGATCAGGATGTATCGGTTCGCGCTTCTCTGGCACGCGCATTTACGCGTACCCTTTGTAACGACACGACACGACGCGACACGACACGACACGACACGACACGACGCGACACGACACGACACGACACGACACGACGCGACACGACGCGACGCGACGCGACGCGACGAGTCGAAACGAGAGACTCGTGAACGGGCGAGCGCGGGCGGATTACTGCCTACGGTATGCATTCCATCCAAGCCTGTCCACGAGCGGACGCGCGAGAGCTTTCTCTCTCTCTTTCTCTCTCTCGATCTCGAAACGACGAGAGAAGGACGGATATCGATGGCCAACTATTGGGAAGAAGGCAATGACGGCGTTCTCGCTTTCGGTGAAACTCCGTCACGCCATATCGCTGCTACCGGTGGTTACTATTCCGTTACGGAAATATTTCTCCTTTCTATCAGGTTCGTTGTCGTTGTTGACGATACGCGATAGAAAGAAAAAAGGAGAGGAACCGAGAGTTCACGCTCGGAGGAAGATCGAGAGTGAAGGGAGGCGAACGATCGCGCTCTCGTTTCTCCGCTGCTCTACAGCCTATGGTAAATCTCACGATCAAGAACGAAAGAAAAAAGATAACGGCAATAGCCTTCGTGCCAGACAGTATAGTGTTTCGCGACTTCGTGGTCACGCGACGCCCCTTGCACCACGAAGGCAGCGTGGTGTCGGATAAGCATTAGACTGGCGCATGCTTGATCGGACGCGCTCGTGTGCCTCCGTACGGGCTCGACTACGTTCGTGCGCCTTCGGCTAGTTCCGCGCATTTACGTTTCTCGGGAACGACCGGACGACTCTCTCCAGCGCGTTGAATCACAGTCTGGGTCAGTTCGCCGAATGATCGTCGCTTCGAGAGGGAGGACGCGTGCGCGAGTGCCCTTCTGTGATTACACGAGTGTGGAGAGTTGTTCGATACGATTTCTTCGTGACTCGGGAATCAGTGTGTCAAAATAGTGTCAGTGCATCGACGAGAAAATACAAATCGGGTAGTGGCGAGAAGGATAATGTTCAAGTGTGTCGCCGAGAGGGCCGAGAAGGTTGCACGGAGTAAGACGAAACTCGCCGGGGAGAACGAGAACGCGTGACAGGTAAAACATAACCTCAATTCCGTACAGGCGAAAACTCGAGGGTTGGTGAGTTTTTCGTGCATTCTCGGTACTCTCGCGGACATTGTCTCTTATTATTCGTATAGTTGCCATGATTTTTCGTCGAAATTTCTCTTTCCACGGTGTTTCGTTTCGTTCCGTTCTCACCAGTTACACGAACGTCCGATAAACTCGTTCTTTCGAACGAGGCGGTTGGCGTAAACGAGCCGTGCAACGATACGTTACCCTGAACGATTTAAAAACGATCCTACGCGAAATTACATACTTTCGATTGCACGCGTGACTTATTTTACGATTGGCGAGGGGGCAAACGCGTTCGAAAGTCGTTCGGTTATCGTCCTTATAACGTCTCAACGGTAGTCGTCGAAAACTCTCGACCATTTTTGTTTTCTTTTCGAACGCTCGAGCCTCACGTGACCTTCTGGTTGCGCGTTTATCCTTGTCGCGATGTGGCGCTTCCGTTTGCCCTGGCAGGAATGTTCGAGCGTTTATCATTGTGTACGACCGCGTTTCTAGCTTGTCTACCACACCTTCGAATCTTTGGCTTTTGATTTCACGCGGCGGATGAAAATTTACGACTGTCTATACCAAACGCTCTCCATATTTCCGCCTTTCCCGTTTCTTCTGCTTTACGCAGGCGGTCAATTTCAACTTATCCGTTCGGCCATAATGGATTATTTTTCCCTTTCCCTAGTAATTACCCTGCGTTTATATTATCGTATCTCGGTTCTCGGCGAGATATCCGATCGTCTTTTACCTTCATTTTTTTTTTCCTAACAAGTGTACGGTGTTATTCCTCGATTTAACTCGTGCACCGGATGACCGAGCGAAGGGTAATTCGCAGAACAGTTTACGCGTGTCTACGCGTAGGAGCTGCGTTCCAAGAATTTCGACCAATGTTATCTACGATCGCGACGCGTGGATAACAATTAGTTACGTTCTCCGTTCTCGAAATTTTTACGACATGACTCTCGAGGGTATTAACAACCGTGCTTAAACACGTTATCGATCTCGTTCGTTTCTGCATTTCCTTTTCATTTTTTTCGAAAGGTCCTCGACATTTTCCCACGAAATATTTACGAGTTTATTTTCACGGATCTGTAGGGCTTTATCGGAAAAATATTTCACCTAACCTTCCTACCAACCCAATGATCGAAAGTAAAATACCCTTCGCGATATATAGACATTTTAAGTACGCGTACATCGCATCGGTTATTGCACAAATCGAAATACAAAATGTATCATCGATGGAAATACCACTTAACGATGATAAAGTTGCGTGGAAAAAAAAATAGCGAAAGGATAGTTGGATACATCGCGTATCGCAAAATTATTTACTCAGTCGATAATACTGCAAATACGAACGAAATATCCGGTCAACAATGAAGGATTCTTCGAAGCTTTTTTATTTCGATAAGCGTGATTTACACTTCAACGTACCAAAATTATAAAAAAAGGTATTGGAAAATTTCGATTTATTATTTTACGCTTTTTCGCTGCACAGAATTATTTGGAAATACTGAGAAGTCGTGACGAGTGATAAAACGATAATTGACGCGAAATGAACGAATAATTCTCTAACGCGAAATAGCCTTCTTTTTTTTTTTTTTTTTTTTTCGAAAAATTTTCTGAAATTGAACGGTAAGTTATACATGCCGCATTATCGACTGAGCGAACAATTTTGCGAGCCACCGTGCACGGTACATCGGGTGGTCGGTGTTATCAAAGGCGAGTTTTCGAGTGCTGTGATTGCGAGTGAAACTGCGAGACGGAGTCGTTTGTACGCGAGAATTACGACGATAATCCGTGGACAACGATCGATGTGTTCGCTGTTTCTCTTCTGTCACGCTTTCAGACGGTTTATCCGCGTCCCCTCGTGCACCCGTCTATCAAGCAGCTTAAGAAATCATAAATATTCATAGTTGCCTCCACGCATCTATCATACTTACGTTGCTGTATTTCACGCGTGTGCAAATTGAAAACTAACAGATCTCGCGATGCTAAAAGAGAGGCGATTAACTCGAGATAACGGTGGCGCTGTAATCCCATAAATATCCGAATTCGCGTATTCGCTCTGGAAACGACGCTGATCCAAAAACGGTGTCACGAGGTTAATCGGCGCGTTCCGCATCGTCGGATTAAAGGTGTCGCGTATTTTTAAAGAGGTTATGTTCATTCAGCATAGGTTCAGTCGCGTTAAACTAGACGATTGGCGAAATTTGACGAATTTGAAATTTAATTCTTCGCGCTCGAATTGGAATTTTTCAGACGGTAATTAAATACATCTAGCAATAATTTCTCGTCGTAAGTGCACGTGAGTACACTGGCCATTTCGAATGTAATTTTTACAAGCATCGAAACATCATTTACGTTCTCGAGATATTCTCAAGTGGTTCGGAAGCAACAAAAGAATGGCGGCTTAGTTGGTCGATTCATTGTCGTCGGTGATTAAGAACGCTGTGACTAAACGTAGGAATGGTCGATAATACGCAGGTGATAAAATTCTTAAAATAAATCGCGCGAGTCAGACTTAGCAACGCGTGTATTTTCCGCCATCGTTTTCGAGGTCACGAAACTCACGCGGATCACGTTGTTACCTCTCCGATCGTACATCGTGGAGAATATTTAATTCACCGAGGTGGAAAAAGCGAAAAAAAGAAAATAATACAGCTGCAGGAAGAGTAGTCGTAAAGTTGTGGCTGGCAGTGTACTCGTACATTCCGAGGGAAAACTCGCGGTGGCGGTCGTAGGAAACGAAGAGGCACGTAGCAACCATGAATGGTTGGCAGGGTGAGCCGAAAGTATGAATGGGCTAATCAATTTCCAGGCACAATCGCGGCATAACGCGTGTCCCTAGTAACCGTGTCCGCCGATACGGCGTGCACGTACGGTGCGCGCGCGTGTGTGCGTGTAAATTTTCAATTGCAAGTGACGAGTAAGCGGTCGCCGACAATGCGAAACGTTGCAACGATACGTCGCGCGGCGACATCGCCGCGAGCGTTTGTAAATGGAGAAATATCGGTGCGCGTTTCCACCGATCGCGATAATAATAATCCAAGCCCCATACGTACGCGCGTCAAACGCGTTAATAAACGCGACGGATTAATTTAAAAAGCCGATACTCTTTGATGTCGCACGTCTACGTCGACTCCTGTATCGATACCTCTCACCGTTATCGAGCTCCGCTATCGCGTTACGCGAAACAACCGCGTACCAAGGCACGCGCGAATGCACGCTCGCGCGAATCTCGCGCAAATTATCAGCCGGATGCGATCGCTGCGCGAACTAGTCGATGACTAGTCGTTATGTTTGCATAGGCCAACGTACGCGTGTTCCTCGATTTTCCTCGATTTTCCTCGATTTTTCTCGATTTTTCTCGATTTTTCTCGCGAAAAGGACGCCGGGCCGAAACGCGACGAGCGTTCGTCTGATCGATTCCGCGGACCGAGGCAGTCTGCGCGTCATCGGCGCAGGTGGAGGATCGTGGGTAATTAGGAAAAGCGATGGAATTAATGGCAGTCGCGCGACGGATGGAAGACGCGGAACATCCGCTTATTTATTCGGCCGTTTCCTCGTCGCGATCGCTTTTCCGATAAGCCGCGCCCTCTATCCCGTATAATTTACAGTAATTCGAATACAAAACGTTAATCCATTTTTAATGGAGTGTACCCCTTAATAGCCGCCGGGGATTTTAATAGTTTGCGTTAATTGTCCCACTATTTTAGTCGAACCACGGCCGGACGCGGGGAATCGAATAAACTGACCGCCGTTATTTCCAGCGTCCGTAAACCGTATCCACCGTATAAATTACTATCCCTTTTTTCCACCCCGCCCCTTTCGTTCCTCCCGCCAACTTCGCCGATTAACGATCCGTCCAGGATTTCGTTATTTTTCAACCCCGATCGAAAACAATCGCTCGTTAACGATCCGTCGCGCCGATTAATTCCCGCCGAAATTATCCGGGTTTGATCGTTAACCACGGGGCAAGTTTATCCGGTTCCGGGTGTCGTTTCCTACCCCCGATGACACGCGTGGTCCCGATTCGACGACGAGGACACTAGCCTTCCGACATGCGTTTCTCTCCGTTAGCAGCCAGCTGCGGCGACCAACGCCAAGTCCCAATGGAACACTCGCGATTGCGTCTAGGACCCCTGCAGTCGATGACTTAACGCGCTTATGCGGTCGAATTGCACTCGGAAGGCGGCGAAAACGGTTTCGCAAATGGTTTCGCTCGACGGGACGGGAGAAACGAGGCGAGGGGGCTTCGCGACGGTTTATGTGTCCCGGACACAAAGGAACCGGAATGGACCCCGGTGCGTGGCCGGGTTAGAAAAATATTTCGATTGCGAGGGAATTTGATAACGGGTGTAGAATACGCGAAACACCGAGCATTGTCCGAGAAAAATCGTTTTATACAGTAAAATCTAGTGATAAGCCGTATCTACGCGTCGCGGTTATCTCGGGCACCAGTGGCGAGTAATTACGACACTGGCAATGCCGCGATAGTTTTACGACATCGTTAAATCTCTCGATAGTAAGAAGGGAATGTAGAGGGGTGCTCAGTTTAGGTTTCGACCGGTGGAAAAGGTATGCGAGCCAGGGTGCGTTTCGACGATTAGCGAGAACCGTTTTAATTCCAACCTACCGGACCTAGATAACCAGTTATTATCTCGGATAGTAGCTGTGCGTGTTCATCGCGCTTCCGCCTAGTCACTCTATTATCATCGCGTCTCGTTTCGATGAATATTCACCGTGATTTCGCCCCGTGTTCTTCTTCGAAACGGTCTTAATCGATGAACGAGCTCGATTTTTCTTCCTTCGTCTTGAATACCGCCGCGGTGTTTCTTCGCGGTTCGTTAACGCGATTAAACAACGCCTCGCGGATTCCTTTTACGAGTGACCGAGACACGCCGCGGGTTCCATCATTTTCTCAGTCGTTTCCAACTTTTCCACGGCTCCTCAACCGCGCCTATGACACGATG